TTTGGATGTTGGATTTTCTTCATAGCAGACAAGACAAAGTAATTAGTATAAAATCAAAATTGTAGTAAAATTTAGAGCATAGTTTTTTTAATGTTTCTTCCCATCAGCAACAATCCACTTGGATTGCACAGATACTTAGCAGAATTTGGAATCTTTATTGAAGGATAAAGTAATATGTCCTTCATTCACTTGATAGATTGCAACAGATCTTATGGCATCGTATCCTGAAGTGGCTGAAACATGGGAACTCCAGGGCCTTATTAGTTATACCCAAAAGGATTATATGCAAGCAGAACAAAGGTATGAGAGGTCTTGAATTCTGAACTCTGAGCTCACTTTGTACTTGCAATTAGAATTAGAGGTACTTTTTCGCTTACCGAATTCGATATGTTAGGTTTGATTTTTTTTGTTAAAGTGTGAAGCTGTAGTTTTTAACTTATTTCATTTTTCACTTTAAATCAACTAGATCTGAATGATAAATCTTACTAAGGTTTGCAAACCAGAAATATTGGAAACGTAAGATATTTTTGAAATTTGTATTGCTAATGCATACTTTCGTAACGGGGCACTTTTGAACTTGGCTTTTCTTTCCCCGTGTCCACAGTTAATCATCTATACATGGTGATGTACTGGTTCATATATTGTGGTAATACTCTGGAGTCTTCACTCAAATGGACACTTTTTTTATGAAAACAGACCATGAATGTTACCAATTTATTTGAACATGAGCATTCTTAAAACTAAGGCCTATTCTGTTCTCAACAAATGTCACTACTGGAGTCAATAATGCAGATCCAAACCAAATGGATTTCTCCCATTTGTTGTTTAGATTTGAGAATGAATTGCACACTGCAGAGTACAAATCTTGGAACCTCCAAACCATTCTTCACTGGTGTGGGTTGTGAATGAAGGGACATACTCCAAGATGTGGGAGAAAACAGCCTCAGTTGGAAGGTTTGATGGCATGGTTGTGAGGAAGCCAACCCATTTTTATTTTGTGGAGAATATTCTGATATTCCACCCTTCCCTCTGCTGATGATCTTACCTTTCTAGCCATCAAGGTTTCATTGAGCATATTGAGATGTGAAGAGATGTAACAAGTTCAGGAATGATGATGTCCATATGTTGATTCAGAAATGTCAGGAGGAATTAAGAAATTGAGTACCCTCAAAAAGGAAACATACACTTGTTTACAAAGGACAAGCTGAAAGTCATCTGTTCCATTTATGACAATCCTAAAATACAAAATGTAAGATCCTCAAGGGAGATGCCCTTATTGCCTTAGACTCTAAATGTAGACAGGACACAGTGATGGAACTCAGAATTCATAGCAGATCGGATGTGGAGTTGTGGACGTGGGAAGAGGCCTGCATGGACGATAGCTACAAGGTGCCAGGAAGATTCAAAATAAGGGCATGGCTATAGACCTTGAGGAAGTGGAATCTGAAAGCGAACAGCTTGGTTAGAGGAAAACCCGTATGACATGAAGTGGTGGCATAATTATAAAAATTGTTTTTAAACTTACTGTCACATTTCCTATATGTTTTCTCATTTCTTTGTCAATGCTGGTGAAAATATTTAAGACTGAGCAACTAGTCTACTCTGTGGCACCAACCGGGAGCTAAAAGCTCAAATTCAATATAAAATAACTACTGTGTCAGCCACAGGAGAGTTGTTACCACAATTAGTGGTTACTAATACAGGCTACCGCTTTGATTTCAAAGTTCTAGTGTCTCACAGTCACCTGTATGTTAATGTAAAAATCCTTTAAATATAGTTGAGAAAAGAGTTTCCAACAGATGTTGTGTTGTGATCTGTGTACCATTTTTCATATGTAATAGTCACATATGTACTGTTTCCAAAATAGTGCAAAAACCATTTACAAATAATGAAAAGGCAACTTGGGGTTTAGATTATGGAGATAAAATTTGGTCTTCTGCAAGAATATGCCAACAATTTAGCACTAGCTTAAGAGAAAGCTGAATTGCTGATATAGTACCACCTCAAATGCTTAGATTGTGCTTTCATTGATGTCCTATCCAGTGACTGAGAGGAATATTGAAATCAACTGCATGACAATGTTAGTCAGAGTTTGAAAATAGCCTATGATAGGAATGAACATCAAAATCTTCACCTTTAAATAGCCCTAATTTTTAAATATTTTTTTTTTATATTTGGAGAAATAAATCTAATAACATTTTGATATCCTCCTACAGTTTCCAGAAAGCCCTGAAAATGAAAGCAGACTGTGGAATATATTACTACTACCTTGGACTAACTTATTGGTTCATGGGGGAGGCGATGAGAAAAGACAAATCTAAAACTGCTACACATTTGTTAAAGGTTTGTGAAACCATAATGATCTTTCTTATGTACAAATTCTACAAGTAAATACTTAAATGTTTCAGACAATGGTACAAGCGTATCTGACTTATTAAGAAATCACCTAATCACGTTGATTTAACTTGCTTTGCACTTCTTAGTATCTCTCTGGGTGCATATTACGATTGGTTAAATGAAATTGCATAAATCATCTAACGATGAAGACGCTGCAGTCCACTCCTACCTTCGTATGTTGTTACTCAATAACTAATTCTAGGGTTTTTGTCTGCACTTAGCTATCCAGAAAGCTGTTCTACCTGTGTTGACATTTTTTCTGCATGAAGAAATTGCTGGTGTCCGTCCCAAATTTTGAAGAAATTCAATGTGTAACTTTTCCCTGAACTGCCTTAAAGATTAGAGCAAGACAGAATTCACAGTATGATCTGACTGTTATACAGTGCTGTATGATTTTTCTTGATTGGTCAATCGTACTGGTGGAATAACTTGAGCATGAGTTCACAAGAATTTCCAGTTCTTTCAATTTTGCCAATAGCTAAATCAAAATTGTTCATTTCTGTTCTTACTACATCCTTTTTTTCCTATCTTTGTGCAGTACTTTAACACCTGTATTACTCAATTTCTGCCATTAATTTGCCTATGAAGATTTTGTCGAACTTGCTTTATACTCTGAGCAGTACCTTCTAACAACTGAAGGGACGGGGCGGCCTCCCACCCTACCATTTGAAGAGAAGATTAGATAGGCAGAAAGGGTGGGAGAGTAGAACCATGTCATTTGTTTTGCAGTGAGTTTCAGTAGCAGATGAGCCACAATTGCATGTAGTTTTAGTCTCCTTACTTGAGGAGGCATTTCAGAGGAGGTTCACTAGATTGAATTCCACAGATAAGGGTTTTGTTTTATAAAGTAGTTTAGACATTTACTGTCTAGAGTTTAGAAGAATGAGAGGAGATTGAGATATAAGGTTATTAACAAAGTAGACATAGAGCAGATATTTCCCTTTCTGGGGCAAGCTAGATTGAGAGGTCTTGGTTTTGGGATAAGGGTAGCAGATTTAAAATTAAAGATGAGGAAGAATTGCATCTTTCAAAAGGTCATGAAATTCGCTACCCCCGAATATGATGGATATCGGGATACTTAGTAAAGTTAAGGCGGAGGTAAATTTTGAATTCTGTCTCGTTCTGAGTGGGTTGAATGATTATGGGGAGCCGGCAGGAAAGTAGAGTTGAGGCTGAGATGAGATTGGCCTCGTGTATTGAATGGCTAAGCAATCTTGAGTTGAGTTGCCTACTGCAGTTCCTAGTCCTACGTTCTTATGAGCCAGGTGGGACAGAAATTATGTTACTGAAGTGGAAATAGGTAATCTTGTTAATCGAAAGGATTACTGGTTTGAAGTTGACCTCTTCAGTCAAATAGAACACAAATTTTGTCCAGGCAGAGGGATGCAATCATTGGCTAGGGACTGAAGACCACAGCTTTATTTAATTGGCAAATTTCTGTTGAGTCCCTGCTGTTTTTGATAAAGACAGTGAAAGGATTGAAATGGTTTGATACGGTAAAGCAGAATTAGATGTTTGTGTAAATGCTGAATCTGACCTGTTTTGTAGACTCCAACAAATAGGTTTTCCTGCCCCTCTATTTCAGATGCATTCTTACTACAGCCATGGATTTGAGATTCATTACTCTCTGTGAATGCTTTACATTCATTTAAACATGTATTACATGCTAAAACAAAAGTTGGAAGTCACGTATGAAATCATATCAAAATGTCAAACCTATCTTTGTGATAACGAGTAAAGAAACATCAAGTATGACTGACTAAATACAGATTTAAACCTTTCAAAGGAACCACCTCATGGGCAATTAGTTACTGTACTTAATTCTAACCCATAACTTAACGACTCCCTTGTATTTTTTGTAAGTTTTTGAAAATAAACTATCATTGGAATTAGAGACATTTCTGAATAGTGAACGTTAAGAGACTTTTATATTTTTGTCTCTTTTGTCTTGACTGTTGCTTCGACTTCTTTAGGTTGCTTAATTGTATACAGTATTTTTGCAATTATGAACAGATATACATCTTTCATATTTTCCAAGCTGATACTAAGGAAAATAAAATGGAAGATATGCTGAAGTGATTGCTACTTCAATATCATATTCTGGATTTGTAATGTAAAAGAAAGAGGCATGACTCAGCATTCCAAATTCCCCTCCTTGACCCCTGGTTCAAAGGATGAGCTATTTCATTTAGAAATTAAAATTCAAACAAGTGCACCATAATGGGAAATTAAAGATGAAGAGAAAACAGTTACAGTCCATCTATCAAAGGGTATATTTTCCAGTTTCTGTTACAATGTGTCTAATGCTGTGAAGAAATTTTGTTGCATACTGTAATCATTTCACTCCTGACTTCAGTACCAGCTTATTCATCATAAACTTCTTCTTAATGAACTGCAGGCTGCCAAGTTGGATACGTACAATGGAAGAACATTCTGCTACTTAGGCCACTACTATCATGACATAGTACAAGATAAAAACAGAGCTCGTGGTTGCTACAAAAAAGCCTTTGAGCTAAATAATGCTGATGAAGAAGCAGGAGCAGCTGCTGTTGATCTCAGTGTTGAACTTGGAGATATGGTACTGAACATATTTTAAATATTCTTTCAGAATTGTTTTCATTTTCGTTGTGACTGAAACTAAGTTAGAAGGGTAGATATTCATCTTTAGCAGACCTAAACAGTGTTACGATTCCCACAAAGACAAACTTTTAAAAGGTAATTTGAATTCCCATTGAGTAACTGGAAGGATTACACAGTAAGATTTCAAGTTTTAAGACTTATTATATTGTCCAAACTAAAAGCAACATTGTCTAAATACTATTCAGTAGACAACTTGTAGCTAAAGGTACAGGAATGAACTGCTCCCTTTTTCATAGTTATAGTTCACTTTGTCCCGTAAGTGGATGCTTCATTCTCTAGCAACCATGCCAAAACTACTCTAAGCTCCTGATGGATTACTTTTTTTTCCCTTTTCTGTCAGAGAACTTCTGACTCTTTTTTTTGTTTCAGGGTTACTCTGGAAATTTCTCTCTAGTCAAAGCTAGGCAAATGTTCTAGCCCTAATTAAAACCTCAAGTGCAAACTCCCATCTGCATTTGGCATAGGGGATAATAGAGATTGACTGCCTCCAGTTCTGTTCTCTCGCACTTACTTGTGCCTTCTTGCTCTCAAACTCTTTTGCTTCTGTTTTTGCACACTTTCATTTCATTATGTTCTGTTGCGTGTGCTTGTTTTCTTAGTGTCTTGCTCTCACTCACATGAAGGTATATAATATATGAAGTTAGCTGACCTATCAGCCATGATTTCATTGAATGGTGAAATTGGCTCAAGGGCTAACTGACCTATTTCAGTTCCTATGCTCCTTTATTTTTTGTGCTGCAACAAGTTAGGGCCATAGACCATTATTAATAGGAACCGGAGTAGACCATTTGGCCCCTCGAGCTTGCTTCACGATTCAATAGGATCGTGACTGATCCTACACTCCTCTCATTCACTTTCCTCATTTACATTTGATTCCCCTACTGATCAAAAGTCTACCTATCTCAGCTTTAAAATATATGCTAAGACTGCCCCATACCTCTATTGCAAGGAGTTCCAAAGATTCAATCTCCTGAGAGATTAAATTTCTCCTCATCTCAGTCATAAATTGGCACCGCTTAACACTTAATTCTGAGATTTACCAAATACTCCTAGACTATCCTATGAGGGGAAACACCCCTCTCAGCATTTAACCTGTTAAACCCCTTCAGAATCCTATGTTTCAATGAAATCTTCTCTTATTCTTTTAAATTCCAACAGGTAGGGTCCCAACCTGCTTAACCTTTACTCGTAAGATAATCCCTCCATTCTGTGGAGCATCCTAGTGAACCTTCTCTGAACTGCATCCGATCAAATATTAACTTTTCTTAAATAGAGTGACCAACTGCTCACAGTTCTGAAGATGTAGGCTCACTACTAGACTCTTCTACTCTTAAACTTCAACCCCCTTGAAATAAGCTCCGACATTCCGTTAGCCTTCCTGATTATCTGCTGATTGTTAAAATATTCATCTTTATTTGTGTAGCTTTACCATAATGGAATTGATATTAAATAGATAATCTGGATCAATTCATTGGCAACACATGTATTTCTATATCCCATTAACATAGAAAAAATCCTCAAGTGCTTTAATAGGGAAATTAAACCAAAGTGGAGGGTTTAGCAAAAGCTTACGTGTGCCAAAAATGCAATGGCAAGCCAATATTTTTAAAGGCGCAATTTATTTTTACCCTTCCTTACTGGGCCCTTTGGCTACTTTCACACCTTTTTACCATTGAACAGCTGCTTGGAACTATGAATGCTATAGGTTAATAGTCACTGCTGTTTCCTTTCTCTGAAAACAGTATTTCACTATTTATTGGACCAATATCTTACAACTGCACTGTGAACTAATATATTTTTTCAAAGATGTTACTGTTATTGTAACATGAATTGCTTGATATGTAAAGATCACAACTTTGATTTGATTGTTAGTGAAACTCCAAGCTTCATAGGATTTTTTTTTTACTTTATGCATAGGTGTGATGCCCTTTTTTTTTTAATACTTATTTCGTGCATACCTTCACACATGACTGTCAGCTTGGTGAATTGTTGGTTATTTTTCTTCTGTTGAAATTGGATTCAGATACCCAAAATAATTATACAGAAATACTCCTATTCTCTTGTCTGGGCTAGATATGAAATAATATCAGATGAGAAGAATATTGCCCTGACATGCCATTAACAAAAGCAGCAAGGCTAACGGTACTCGCCCATTTTACAAAGTTAATTGTACAGGCGTTTTTGGAATCTGCTCATACACAGTTAAACAAGGAAGTCTGAAAGTTGCAATGTTACTTACCCTGCTGCTCTGCGGTCTGCATTATAACAGAACCTTGCCTATCATTTTGGCTTTGAAAATTTGCCTGCAGTTTGCTAGTTATATACTAATCACGTCAGAAAATAATTTAGGATTGATTTTTATTGTCATGTGTACTGAAATACAGAGAAAGGCTTTGATTACGAGCGGTACAGGCAGATCACAGCAAGCGAAGGATGTACAGACCAAAAAGACTTCGAGACATAGAAGTCACATTACTTGAGGCTAGAGTCCATTCAAGAGCCTGATAACGGCCGGAAAGCCAGTGTCGCCAGTACTCGGGACTGGATGACTGTAGGATCTTCAAACCTGTAAACAGACTTTAAAATAACATTATTAGTATTTTTTACAGATTTAGAATTTAAGTTTAAAAGTGTAGAACGGTTATAGGAAAGATTAGAGTTAGATCTGTAGGAGCTCGCAAGGAGTCGTCCAGTGTCAGCGCCACCTTCATCTTGAGCTAGTGTATTTCAGAGATTTAACTCTGATAATATTTGCTGCCAAACAACATCTCTGGTCCTGGAGTCTCATTCTTTCAAAAGCTTATTTGTGTTGGATATTATTTTGTAAAAAAAATCCTTTTTGACTTTTTCTAACTGTAATTTATAACTTCTCTTTCTTTTAACACTATCTGTCTTTGTCTTATTTTAGCCACTGTGTGCAATTTAAATATAATTTGTTTTCTGGTTTAGATTGCATGTCTTTTGTGAAGTTTCTTTGGTTGAAGATTTGCTGTTGCTTCCCTACCCTCAGTCATCATGAATCCTTAGCTGAGTGCACCTCCTAGAGCAGATGCTTGAATAGCACAAGTCTTTGCTCAAAAGCCAGCAGACCCTTTGTGGGCAACTGTCGGTGAGATGAATCATGAATTTTGTCACTGGCTGCCCATTATGTGACAATGTTTAATTTGCAATACTGCCAACTTATTCCAATCAGCTAGTTTACTGTTAGTAAAGTATATTCTGTGAAAGATGAACAGTTGTACAATGGCATTGATTGAAACTGAACCAGCCTGGAAGTCGCATGTTGCTTTTTACTTGGATGATGGGTAATACCAAACTGATTACTTGAAAGCTTTTAATGTGATACTTTTTAAAAAATATAATAGAATATTTGTCTAATTCCTGTTGTTGCTTTGGCAATTGTATTACACAGTGAGTCACTTAGTAGTAGTGATTCGTTTACTTATATCACTTTTCACATTGATACTTGTTTGCTTTTAGGAGACTGCTCTTGCAATTCTGAGGACAGTAACTGATCAGTCAAGTGCTGGAACAGCCAAATGGGCTTGGCTTAGACGAGGACTTTATTACATGAGAACCAACCAGAATTCACAGGCTGTGGCAGAGTAAGATATACTATGTTTGAACACCGAGTACTCTATTGTGTTGTTAGAAGAAAATCATCAGGGCAGATGAAGTGGGATCATAGTTGAGGGGAGCTGAGAGAGAATATTGAGGGTGATGTGAGAGACATGCATAATGCATAAATCTAGCGTAGGTGCCCCAGTGATAGGGAGGGGCAGAAGGAGAAAATTGATAGAAGCAACTGAACATAATATTACTGTGGCTGGAGGAATGCACTGGTAAAACCCCATTACTCCATAGGTTGCATGATTCATTAAAAAAATTTAATTTAGTCACAAATGGCAATTGTTTGTTTGTCTTTTATTTTGGATAGCAATGTGAAAGAAACTTTGACCAGGTTTTTCTCCAAAATGAGTAATCAGTTTAATATAAAACAAATCGCTCTTAAACACTGGCAAAACTGGCTAACATCTAGGCTATAATCTGGAATTAGAACTATATCCTGTTTTTGACTGCCAAAACAGACACATTCTCACAATGCAAAGGACAACAAAGTGTCTGCAGAGATAATAATCTTAAAGAAGGGCAAAAGGAAAATACACCCGTATTAACCATTGACCTGTGAATAAAGGATAAAATGTGATAATTCTCATGGGTATGCCGGGTTTCTGACAAAATTGAATTGCTTACAACCAATAGACCAATGGAAAGCCTTCCAAACAAGGCTACGTTTAGGATGGAAATCAAGCTGGATCCAAGCCTTAAGGTAATAATCAGAGCTTGTATGGTAATCAGGATACTGAAGTGTGGAAACTTCATCAGATTGCCAAATAATTCCACCTAGAGAGAAAGAGAGAGAGGAGGAAAGTGAGAATCTTGCAACTACAGTTACGTTAGAGGCTTTTTTCCTCCTTCAAAGACCCCCTCCCACCCCCGGCTTGGTGAAACCAATAACCAAGTTCAGAAAGGGTTGCTAGGAAATCGTCAATACAAGGTCTGATTCCATTGACTGGATAAATGGAAATCTGGATCAAAATATTGAAATTTATTGCACCACGCCACATAATGCTTGAATTTTTTATTTGTGTCTTATATATATTCATAATACGAAGTCTTTCAACCCAGTTAATCTATTCTATTTACTATTGAGGAATTTTAAGGCCATGTGAAAATAAGTTTGTGGAGAGCAGTTTGAATGACATTGCTGTTCTCTTTTATTGTATGGTTTTGAAATCCAATTTTGATTATATTAAATTTAATGATCTGTCATTTTTAAACAGTTTACAAGCAGCCTTGAGAGCAGACCTGAAAGATTCAAATTGCTGGGAATGTTTAGGAGAGGCTTATCTCAGTAGAGGAGGTTACACTGCTGCTTTAAAGGCTTTCACTAAAGCCAGTGAACTGAATCCAAACTCCGTATACAACATTTACAAGATTGCAGCCATTAAACAGATTATTGGCAAGTATGCAGAAGCAGTTACAGAGTATAAACAGATAATTCAGAAGTCAAAGAAATATGTTCCTGCCCTCAAAGGTAAGTTCTTTTCTTTTTATTTTATATTTTTACATTGTCCATTGTTAATATACCTTGCATATTTCCGAATGTTGTATAGTAAATTACTGTTTGGGGATACTGAATATGGAAAATTCTCAAGCTAATGCTTCCAAATTGATTAGGCAGATGTCTCACTTGTCCTTTAATTGGGTTACCTTGTTCAGACAAGATGAGGAATAATGTTATTTATTATAATTCCCTGAGGTTTTTCAGAACTTTGAAAAGTAAAGTGCATGTTGACTTTTCAGTCAGCTGATTGAAAGTACTGGTTAGTTGCAGCAAAAAGATGGTCAGACCATTCTGCTGTGGTTTTTTCTTTGTTTGCAGCTGCAAGGTGATGACCGAGTTTCTGTGTAGCTTGTCAGATTAAGGCACGTTGGGACTGGGCTGCCTCGCAAGGATAATGCCTGGGAGGACAGTTTGGGTGACAATTGAAGAGGGAGGGGAATCCCAGTTATTTTTATGGGATTGGAAGTGCTGTTGCCTTACTGAGTCCCCACATAATATCATTTCAGCATTACTTTACTTTACTTTTCCTGGGTCTCTTCAGCTTAATATTTGTAAGTGTTTCTTAAAAGGGCAAGCACATCCTTCAACAGCACCCTACTTGAAGTTGCTCAACAATTCTCCCAGAAAATAATGCTGGCTGCTTTTGTTCTCAATTTGAAGGTCCGGGAAATAACTGAGGAATATAGTACTATGTAATTGAGCTGTTATGAAAGATTTAGTTTGATTACTGAAGAAGAATCAAAGAAATATACTGAGGTAGTAAGGACTGTAGGTGGTGGAGTTGGAGATAACACTGTGGAGCAGGCTAGGCAGCATCAGAGGAGCAGGAAAGTTGACGTTTTGGGTCAGGACCCTTCATATGCTGATTTGTTTTTGACCTCTGTACTGGTGATGTCTTTCTTTGTCAAATAAGATTGAATGATTCACAATAACTTGCGATTAACAAATTGAATTTGTGGTGCTAATCTGATCATAAGCCAAGGTCATGATATGGTTATTTAGAGCAAGTACTTTGAATATAATTTAACATGAGGTTCCTTAAAACAAATAGAAAGAACCAGGTAAAATATTCACAAAAAATTTATTGCTGATTTTATGTAGAATTGTGCTGGAACATCATGCCAAATTATTAAAACAGTGATTTTAAGATTTCTGCCCCAGATAGAGAGTTACCAATTTTAGTCATGTGTTTTAAAAAAAAACACAGCGTATTCCAAGAAAGAGCAAGCAGAATTGATTTGCTGAGTTAACCTCGAATCATTCCTCGTTAGCTCTATTTTCAAACCAGCTTTCATCAAGAACAGAAAATTCTAAATGGTTCACACTGGCAAAAGATATTTCATAGTAATTTATAAAGTGAAGCAACAAAGCAAGCATTGACCAGAAGTAAAAGCAAAGATTGTACATTGTACCAAAAGTAATTGCACTAAAATTACAGTTACAAAGCAGCAATTTTAAGATGCTACAGAAAGCAAAGAGAGATGGCAGGATGGAGAAATTTAGCAAGGCTGTCTAGTAGTAGAGTCATGGAGATGTACAGCATGGAAATAGACCCTTTGGTCCAATTCGTCCATGGCGACCACATACACTAAATTAATCTAGTCTCATTTGCCAGCATTTGACTCATATCCCTCTTAAACCCTTCCTATTCATGTACCCATCCAGATGCCTTTTTAACTGTTGTAATTGTACCAGCCTTCAACACTTCTTCTGGCAGCTCATTCTGTACATGCACCACCCTTGGCATGAAAACGTTGCCCCTTAGGTCCCTTTTAAATCTTTCCCCTCTCAATTTAAACCTATGCCCTCTAGTTTTGAACTCCCCTACCCTGGAGAAAAAGACCTTGGCTATTAACCCTGTCTGTGCCCCTCATGATTTAGAAACTTCTATAACGTCACCCCTCAGCCTCCAACGTTGCAGGGAAAATAGCCCCAGTCTATTCAGCCTCTCCCTACGGCTCAAACTCTCCAACCCCAACAACATCTTTGTACAAAAACAAAGTTGCTAGAAAAGCTCAGCAGGTCTGGCAGCATCTGTGAAGGAGAAAACAGAGTTGACGTTTCAGGTCTGGTGACCCTTCTTCAAAACTGAGGAAGTTCTGAGGAAGGATCACCGGACCCGAAACATTAACCCTGTTTTCTCCTTCACAGATGCTGCCAGAGCTGCTGAGCTTTTCCAGCAACTTTGTTTCTGTTCCTGATTTACAGCATCTGCAGTTCTTTTGGTTTTTAACATCTTTTGTACATCTTTTCTGAACCCTTTCAAGTCTCTGAACATCTTTCCTCCAGCAGGGAGACCAGAATTGATTGCAGTATTCCAAAAGTGGCCTAACCAATGTCATATGCAGCCGCAACATGACCTCCTGACTCCTATACTCAATGCACTGACCAAAAAGGCAGGTGTACCAAATGCGACCTTCACTGCCCTGTCTACCTGGGACTCCACTTTCAAGGAACTATGAACCTGCACTCAAATGTCTCTTTGTTTGGCAACCCTCCCCAGGACCTTTACCATTAAGTGTATAAGTCCAGCTCTGACTTGTCCTCCCAAAATGCAGCACTTCAGATTTATCTAAATTAAACCATATTAACTTTTTAAAATGTAGTCACTAATGGTGCAGAAAAAGGAAGGATGGAGGAGTAGCTGGTGTTTGATGAATAGATAGTGTATGTCTGGACATGTGGATATTGCTAAGCCAAGTTCAGGATAAGTATGGTAAAGGATTTTAAGTGGATCAGTCATTCACAGTTGGTCTTGGAATAAAATGTGATTAAGATGGACAAAATGGAAGGAAGAAAAATTCATTGGTGTATTATATTAAACAAGAACATAAAATAAACCATAGTCACGTTTCAAGTATTTGCATGTAAGCTAAAAAATGGGATAGTTCTTATATGGCGTTCATCAATCCCAAGATCTTCACAAAGTTAGGACTACCTGCTTTCAGGAGTCTGTTATATAATCTTCAGACTGAGATGGGGGAAGGTACAGATTTATTCCCAATTTTGTAATATATTGGGATTCAGAATTATCTGGAAACATGTCAGGGGTCCCTTAAGTTGACTGAGGGCGCAAGTAGTTTTAAGGGGTGAAATAAAAATTCAGGTATTCCGATCTAAATTTAATTTTTCCAAATGCACAACAAAGATAAAGTATTATATAAAAGTAGCATGAAAATGTTTCGAAAGTGTATTGTTGGCAGAAGAAAACTTTATTTAAATATACAGTATAAGAGGATCCTCCTTTCGTTTCAAAAAGTAAACCTCCTCAAACCACGTGGCTTATTCATGCTTTTCTAGGCCTAGGTGAATGTTATTTAATGATGACCCGAAATGCCCTTGATGATTGTTTAGATGGAAGGGCTTTGGATTCAGCAGAAGAGGCACTTCAGTACTTAGCTAGGTGAGTAAAAATTGATGCTTATTTTCACAAATAAACATTAAACAAGCTTTGAAAATGTTGTTTGAGCATGTTTGTTAAATTTGCAAAGCACTAAATCAATAGTTAAGCAGCAAAATACGTTTTGTTCTGATACCATTTACACAAGATACTTTTATTTAAGACCCATTTTGAATCCTCTATTACACATTTCAACTAGCAGAATAGAATGGTTGACAGCAGGGTAGATTGTAAAGATGGTATGGGTTTAGTGTTGTATAGTTTGCTGGTGCTTCTCTCCTTTTGTGTTCCAGGTCTTAATTGATACGACTAGTGCAGACCAACTTGCACAACATTATTTAATTGTAACTAATGCCAATTTTAACTTTTTGCAGTAGAAATTCACAAGTCACATCTAGCCCATCCACTGTTAATGCAAATCAATCAAATCTCCAGCACACTCTCCTAACCCTGTATCTTTATCTATTGCAAATATGATTAGTTGTGTAATGATTTCTGCTTCCATCTTTTGTGACAGCATTTTGTCTTTGGAAAGCCGTTTCATTGAACCTCTCTGCTCGCTCTTGTTGATTACCTAACTAAAAGAGTTAGTTTTTCCTTTCTACATTATCAAAACTCATCGTAATTGTAAGAACCGTATAAAATTTCCCCTTATTCTTTGCTCCAGTACAAATAATACCAGCATTTCAGTTTTTTTCTTTGCTACTAGTTTCCAATCCTTGCACTATTTTGTGAATCTATGCTGTATCTGCTATGTATCGATGTCCAATGGGGTGTCCAAAATTGTACCCCATGTTATAAATGTGGACTCATGAATTTAATGTTATACTGCTATGGATAAGCTAAATATTTCTGCTTTCGGACTAAACCAAAATCCAGGATTCATGGGCTAAAACCTGTGGCTTACCTTTGTCAGAAAGCCTGCTGTGATCAGATGTTATTCTGGCAGCTGATAGTTGCCAGCAAGCTTTCTGCTGGAAGTATGAAGCCACACGAGAAAGTTCTGCCCACCGGGAGCTGCCAGTCAATCAGAAACCAGTATCTCTAGAACATGGATACTGCTGAGCAGCTACCTGTGTCCCGGACACAGATTGAGGATCAGACGTGAAATTTGTAACAGTTGTTTTGGGGGTTGAGATTTTTAGGGCTACAGTCTGTAGGGAGGGTGTCAGAACAGAGTGCTGGGGATATCTTTTCCTTGCTGAAGCTTAAGAAATTGCAGTCCAGGTGAGATGTTGTCATTAATTCATAACTTAAGGGCTTGAATTGCCAGCGGATTGGGAAGGTCAACCATGGGCCTTTCTGCCCAGAACTTAGTTTCTGAAGTGGTAAGAAGAAAGTAAATATTTTCCTGATGCTAACCTGCACGATTTTGTTAGTTTTCCTTTCAACTACTTCTTGGGAGGAGAAAATCTCATCACAAACTGAATGTTAACTGTCAAAATTGAGACAAAGCTGATAACGCTTGCAGTTCTTTTTATGCAAATACTATGCAAACAGATTGGTAAATGATGAAATTCAGAAGTTGTTTTCCAAGATGCAGCACTGCACTGTTAATTTGGTAAAAGCAGCAGGGTTTCCATCTGTTCACCTTTGAAATGTACTGAATGGAGTGATGTTTCTGTACTTGTTTGGAAGTTATTACTTTATGGTGAGTTTAATTTAAATAAAATAGAAACTGTGGATGCTGGTGATCTGAAACAAAACAACAAATTGCTGGAAAAACTTGACCAGTCCAGCAGTCACTCTGGAAAGAGAACAGAGTTAACGTTTTGAGTCTTTATGATCCTTCAGAATTAGAAGCAGCTAAAATTGTTTTGTCCATTTTCAAAGTAGCAATTACTGCTGAATGTCATCTGTGTTTAGAATAAACAAATTAAAATATCGTGTTAGAGATTTTTATGTGATATTAATTTTGAATAATATTTTTCTCTCTCTCACTCTTAATCAAGTCTTTCCCCTTTCACTTTGTTCTTTATTTTGTTTGAATTCACCCATTTTAGTTTTGACTTTCTTCTCAATCCTAGTGCGTTAATTTTCCAATTCTTCAGTATAATTAGTTAAGGAGGTGCATTTGCCTCACCCTGTCCTCAACGCTCAGTTCTGTCTCAGTAACGTTAGGAGCTCACATTTGATTAATTTTCAATGTGTGATCGCTTTTTAAAAAATGTATGTATGTTTTGATAACCTTAAACTTTTATTAAAGGCAGCTACTTGAAAGTGGTACTTTAATTTTAAGTGGCTATGTTTATTGTTTCACCTTGCAGAGCTGTACAGTGTCGGCCTGATGTATCCTGTCTGTGGAAGCTGATTGGAGATACATGCACCACACTCCACGTTTTGTCACCAGCAAAAGTTAACATTAGAGTCTCTGCCATTCTCATTGGACAGGATGAAAAGAGAAATGTGCACTACTTGGATAAAAATGAACTGCTTCGACTCGGAGGAAGGTAAATTACTTTCAGTCAAAAAGTCATATTTTAATCTAATAATGGTAGTTTGTCACTTTTTTTATAACCATTCCTATAACTATACCTTATTAGATTGTTCTCCCTTCAAGTACATAATTTTGGTAGTTTCACTTGCCAACTATTGGAAAATCACTTAAGGCAAGGGAAATTTAACCGTTCTCCATCTGTGACTTATTGCTTTCTGAAATCCTGTTGTTTTGACTCCCTTATCTCCACCTCTGGTATTAATGAAAAGCTGAGAAACACTGGCTCTGAACTTGATCTCATCCCTGTAACGTGATTGAGTCTTTTTGAGGAAGTTACCAAAAAGATTGATGGCAGAGCAGTAGATGTTGTTTAGTTTGATTTTAGTAAAACCTTTGACAAAGCTCCACATGGTAGACTAATTAGTAAAGTTAGGTCATAAGGGATTCGGGGTGAACTTGCCAATTAAATACATAATTGGCTTAACAGCGGGAGACAGTAATGGTGGAGGGTGGCTTTTCAGACAGGAGGCCTGTGACCAGCAGTGTTCCACAGGGATCGGTTCTGGGTCCTCTTTTGTGATTTTATTTAAATGATTTGGATGAGAATCTAGAAGGCATGGTTATAAGTTTGCAGACGACACCAAAATTGGTGGCATAGTAGACAGTGAAGAAGGTTTTCTAAGATTACAAAGGGATCTTGATCAAATGAGTCCGTGGGCTGAAAAATGGCAAATGGAGTTCAATCTGGATTAATGCGAGGTATTGCATTTTGGTACAACAGACAAGGGTAGGCCTTATACAATTAATGGTAGGGTGGTGTTGTCGAACAGAGGGACTTGGTGGTGCAGGTGCATAATTCTTTGAAGTTTGCATCAGATATAGACAGGGTGATTAAAAGTCTTTAACTACTGGCCATAATTTTTCAATTTTTTTATGATATGGGGTAATTAATAAAGGCAAACAGAATGCTGGATTCTGTATTAATAGAGGTACAGAAAACAAAATCAATGGAGTTGTGTTGAATCTTTGTAAACTCAATTGGATTATTGTTTTCCTTTCTGGGCAGCATAATTGAGGGATGATTACTTTAGAGAGCGTACAGAAAAGATTTTCAAGGATGGTTGCAGGGATGAGGGATTTCAGTCATGTGAATAATATGTAGAAGCTGGCATTATTAATTTTAGAGAAGAAAGTGTTGAGACTTGATAGAGACTTGCCAAACCATGAATGATCTAGACGGAGTAAGTGGATAGAAATTGTTAACATTAGCAGCGGTTTTAAAAACAAGAGAACACTAACCTCAGGTGAATGACAAAAGAGCCCAACATGACATGAAACAAAGACCTGCAGATGTTGGAAATCAAACAAAAACAGAACCCCATAAAGAGACAGGCATAACTGAGGCTCATGTAGGTACCCATGACCACACTTTTGATCTGAAGAAAGTGAGAGGAATTAAAGTAGAAGTTGCTCAAAGTGAGGATGGGCTGAACCAGGTGGAGGAGGGTGGTCATTGATGGGGACAGCTCAGGCCTTTTTTACTCAGATGAAGTGGAGAGCACTGAGACTATCCTGATGGGGGATTCTGCTGGTATCTCTCTATGGGCTCCAACTCCACAGATGCTGCCAGACCTGGGTTTCACCAGCTATTTCTGTTTTGTTTTGTAGGAAAAGTTTGGAGGATATGGGCCAAATGTATGCCAATGGGACTTGTTCAGTTTGGGGAAACCTCTTCGGCATGGGCGAGGTGGACCGAAATGTCTGCTTCCCATGCTGTATGACTGATATTAGGAAAACCTTTTTTCATACAGCAAGTGGTCAGGATTTGGAACGAATTTCCTGATAGTGTGATGAAGGAATAGTTGACCCTGGCTTTCAAAAGGGAATTGGATAAGCATTTGAAGAGCAGACTAGATAGGAGAAAGGGTGGGAGAGTGGAGCCATGTTATTTGCTTAGAAGTGAGTCAACTGGCATGGGCATGACTGCGTGATATAAACATATAAATTAGGAGCAAGAACAGACCTCTTAGCAGGCTCTGGGGGCTCTGCCATTCAGTAAAATCATGGCTAATCTGATTATTTTCCCATCTACCCCTTGTAATGTTTCACCCCCTTGCTTATCAATAATCTATCTTCCTTTGCCTTAAAAATATTCAAAGGCTGCGCCTCTTCCTTTTTGAGGAAGAGAACTCCAAGAGTCACTATATCTCTGGGGGAAAAATTTTCTCCTCATCTATCTTGAATGGCCAACTCCTTATTTTTAAACAGTGAGTCCTAGTTCTAAATCCTCTCAGAAGAGGAAACGGCCTTTTCACATTCACCCTATCAAGATGCCTCAAGGTCTCATAAGTTCAGTACTTCAAGTCTAACTTGTCTAAGCTTTCCATATCAGACAATCTGCCCATTCCAGCTATTCAGTCTTGTGTAAAGCTTATTTGAACTGCTTCCAAAGCATTTATGTCCATCTTTTAAATTTAAAAAAAAACAGTACTTTTGCAGTATTCCAGATATCTCACCAATGTCCCATATGACTGAAGTGTAACCTCCCTGTATTCCTATTTAATTTCTCTTGCAATAAGCAATAGTATATTAGCTTTCCTAAATATTGCTCTACCAGCATGCTAACATTTTGTAATTCCTGCGCTAAGGCCCCCAATTCCTCTGCGTCTCAAAGTTCTGCAATCTCTCCCCATTTGAATAATATGCTTCTTTAAGCCAAATATGCCAAAATGAGCAATTTCACATTTTTCCCATTATACTCTATTTGCCAAACCTTTACCCACTCACTTTACCCACCAATCTGTTTTTTTTTGTAGCTTCCTTATGTTGCCTTAACAACCTACTTGCCTGATTAGCTTTGTATCATCAAATTTATCACCCAGATTCCCTTTCTATTGGACTACTTTATCCAGATATCTATAGAAACATTTAGTATTGTTTATTGTATTTCTAGCTAGCTTGCTTTCTTAGTCTAATTTTCCCCTTTTCATTAATTGAGATTTTATTTGCTGATTTTATATTCCATATAATTTCTGATTTGCCATTCACTTTTGCAAAATGGTTTAATTTCTCTTTAATACTATCTTGTCTCTTTTTTAATCACGGATGGTGATATCTCCTCTTGAAATATTTCTTTCTCATTGGAATATATCAATCCTGCATATTCTGAAATATCCTGTTCAATGTCTGCTTTTTTTTTTAGCGATTTGATTTTTCCTTTCCCTAATTTGCGAGTTCACTTCAGCAAACTGTGCTTTTATGCTTTCATAATTGCCCTCATTTAAGTTAATAATACTTGCCTTGGATCCTTCTCTCCTCATACTGAAAGTAAACTTGAATTATATTGTAATCGGTGCTATCTAGGGGTGCCTTCACTTTGAGTTAGTTTATTAATCTTGTCTGTTTTGTATGTTACCAGGACTAGTGTAACCCGCACCCTGGTTGGCTCTAGAATATGATATGTAAGAAACTATGCAGATAACATTCATTGAGCTCCTCATCTTTCCTACCTTTGCTCATCTGATATTTCATCTGAGCCATGAGTTCCCACATGCTACAACTGTGGGACTTTACCTGTCCTATCATCCTTAATTATTAGTTATCTTAGTTATTTTATCCCTTGTTTATATATAGAATGAGAGAGCATAGAAACAGACCCATTGGTCCACCATGTTGGTGCTAACTAACAAACTTTAAACTGCAGTAATCCCATTTACCTTTACTTAGGGAATAGTAGGCTATGGACCAACATTTTAAGTACTCATCCAGATACTACCTAACTGTTGCAAGAGTACTTGCCTTCACCACCCTCCCAGGCAGTACATTTCATTTCTCTACCACCTTCTAGGTAAAAATAATTTTCCTTAGATCTCCTTAAACTACTTATTCCTCACCTTATACTTATGCCCTCTGGTCTTCTACCCATCTGCCATGATCTAATCTGTCTATGCCTCTCATAATTTTGTAAGCCTCAATTAGATCCCCCCCTCAGCCTCCTCTGCCCTAAGGAAAGCTAACTCAGCCTAATCAGTCTGTCCTCCTAACTGAGACTTTTCATCCCAGGCAACGTTCTGGTGAATCTCCTCTGTACTTTCTCTCCAATGTAGTCATGTCCTTCCAATAATTTGGCACCAAGAACTGGACACCGTAATCCATCTGTGGTCTAATCAAAGACTTGTAAAGGTGTCACAATACTTTCTTGCTCCTATATTCTACGCCCTAGTTAATGAAGGCAAACATCCCGTATTCCTCCTTCACCACCTTGTCTACCCACGCTGACACCTTCGGGGGTCTGTGCACTTGTACACCAAGGTCCCTTCGTTCCTCAGTACTCCCTAAGGACTTACCATACATTGTGTTTATCCTTCCTTTACTAGACCTCCCAAAAGGCATCACCTTGCATTTATCTCTTTTTAAATTTCACCAGCCATTGCTCTGCCCAATTTACCAGCTGATCCATATAAGACTGCAGCTTGAGACCAGCCTCCTCATAATCAACAAACCACCAATTTGTACCTTGAAAAGATAGTGGTGATCTGCCTGTTGAACTGCTGAAGACCGTATTTTATGAGTAGACCCATAATCCTATTACATGGGGATTCCCGCATTTTGACCCAGCAACAATGAAAGAGCAGTGATCTACTTCTGGGTGAGGATGGTGTGTGGTTTGGATGAGAACTTGCAGGTGGTGGTGTTCCAATGTATCTATTACCTTAATCCCTCAAGGTGGTAGGTCGTTGCGGGTTTGGAAAGTGCTGTCTATGGATCTTTGGCAGATTTCTGCAGCGCACCTTGTGGATAATACAAAGTGCTGCTACTGAGCATTGGTGGTGGAGGGGCTGAATGGCACCACATCCATGAACAATCAACAGGGTGTTTTGTCCTGGATGGTGTCAAGAAAGTAGGGAGTATTGCATCACATTCCTGACTTGTGCCTTTTAAATTGTGAACAGGCTTTGAGGAGTCAGTAAGTGAGTTACTCCCTGTAAGACTCCTAGACTTTCCCTTTTCTTACAGTCACAGTATTTATATGGTTAGTCCATTTTTGATCAGTGATAATCCCTACGATATCGATAGTAGTGATTTCTGAAATTGTACTGCCATGTAATGTCAAGGGGAGATGGTCATTGCCCTCTATTTGTGTGGTGTGAATGTTGCTTGCAAATTGTCAGCCCAACCTGGATACTGTCCAGGTACTGTTACAGTTGATTATGGGTTGCCTCGCTCTGTGAGGAGCCAGAAATGGTGCTGAACATTGTACAATCATCTGAACTTTTGACTGTCTGATTGAGAGAAGGTCATTGAAGCATCCAAAGGTAGTCAGACCATGGGCACTGAGGAACTCCTGGAGATATGTCCGAGAACTGGAATGACTGACCTGCAGTAATCACGAGCACAGTTCAAGCTGGTTTCTTTAACTAACTAACTAACAAACTAACTACAAGTAGAGAGTTTTCATTTCCCTGCTTAAGCCTGAGTGAAATTTAGAATTTAAACAAAGTTAAGAAAATTTGCATTTAAATTGCAGTTACGTATTAAATGCAAACAAAGTTTCAGTTTTAGGAAGCGAATTGGATAAGGGAAATGTGAATATCAGTGCACTATTCAAAGACCTGCTCAGTCTCAGCATGATTTTCAGTTATGTTTGTGGTGTGGAAAGCGGAGTTTTATTTCTAACTGCAACTTATTTTCTCCTAGATGCTATGGACGGGCCCTTACATTGATGTCGCCATCTGCCAATCTGTGGTGCGATCTTGGTGTGAACTACTATCGACAGGCTCAGGCTACTGCAGAAGGGAATATAATGTCTGAGTTATTGGAAAAAGCACTACTGGTAATTTTTTTTGTAAAAAGGACAGAAACACATCTACCTTACAGGGACTGGATTTTTAAAGTGAAAATTTTGGTGCATTTTGGCTTGGTTTTGACAGCACTTTTCTGCATCAAGTTGAATTGCATACTGTGATTTACCACCATACTCCCAACACTCATTCTGTGTTTGATTTTTCAATTTGGGAAATATTGATCGATAATTGCATCAATGTACACAATAGAAAGGTGTTTCAATTTATTGCCTTGCCAATGTTAAACTTAAAAATTGAACTGGGAGCAACTGATCCTGAGAGCAGATATTTTCCATTAGTAGTTGCTCATATGTTTCATTGGCTTGTTTCCTCTAATAACTTGTCAGTGTGAACTTCAATTCAGTCGTATACTGCATAATTTCAGTTTTATTTCTGAACTGAAAGTTAGCATTCTTTCTTGTGTAATTAAATACCCCCATTTAACCTTTCTGCCTGTTTTACAAATATTGCTTAAGTGTCTAATATTACGTTGGATACGCTTGGACTTTTTTGCATGCTTTCCGCCCAAGCAGCTACTTAACATTAATTCAACAATACCTTTGCCAAAGTCAAATCCTGCCCATAAAACTGGTCATGCCCTCAGGTTAGAAAGAAGAATTTGCCGGTAGCAACCCCAGTAGAAACTCCAGACCAGTATTGATGCACGTTTTCTTATTTTTGTTTGAACATGATGGATCACCTAGCAGCAGATTAGGGGAAGATCAAATCTAATTCAGGGATTCCATTTGACTTTTCATTTGCCGAAGTTAATAGATAATTTGGTGAGCTCTGTTAAGCACACGCAATCCTCCCTTTTTTTTGCCTCTGCAGTGTGTTCATTTGATCCTTTAGGTCCAACAACAATTCTGAAGAAGAGTCAGTGGACATGAAATGTTAATTCTGCTTTCTCTCTCCAAATGTTGCCAAACCTGCTGAGTTTCTCCCGCAATTTGTTCTTGTTTCAGGTTTCCAGCAATTCTTTGTTTTACAATTAGACGAAAGTTGGTTAACTACTTAAAAATTGCATGTTTACAATTTTCTTGATCTAGCATGTTTTATGACGTTCACTGTACATCTGTTGAACAGTGCCTCAAAAAATCTGTGATGTTGGACAGCAAAAATCATCAACACTGGAATGCACTTGGAGTTGTTGCAAGTTATAAAGGTATTGCCTTTTTGAATATCAAGTTTGGTGTAACAGTAAAAACTAACTTCTTGAAAATCTATCCTGAAGTTGTTTAGTTTTCTCTGTGGCAGCATGTTGGCTCAGTAGTTAGCACAGCTGCCTCACAGTGCCAGGGACCCAGGTTTGATTCCATCCTTGGGCAACTCTCCGTAAGTTTCACATTCTCCCCGTGTCTGTGTGGGTTTCCTCCCACAGTCCAAAGATGTGCAGATCAGGTGGATTGACTATGCTTAATTGCCAGCCGTGTCCAAGAATGTGCAAGTTAGGTGGATTGGCCAGGATATACAGGTTTATGGGGGATAGGGTAGGGTGGCAGCTCTGGGTGGGTTGTGGTTCTGAAGGTAGGTGTGGACTTGATGGATTAAAGGCCTGCTTCTGCACTGTAGGGATTCAGTGATTCTATGATGATGCTAAAACCTTGTACGCTAAATTTTGTTTTTAAAAATGCTAGTGATATATTGTCTCATCAGTACAAAATAAGATAAATGACAAATTGATTGAATAACCTTGCAATTAAATGTGTTTTGATTACTTTCCTCATTGTTCTGATGCAGGTATTGAAAATTATGCTCTTGCACAACATGCCTTTATCAAGTCTGTCCAGGTTGAACAAAATGCAAGTATTTTACTCAAAATATTATTTATTAGGTGATGGGTCATATGAAGTAATTTTAAGAAAACAGAATCAAAGGATTATGGCCATTTGGCCCATTGTGCCTGCATTGGCTATATTACTAGTGCCAATCTCCTGTCTTTTCCCTGTATCCTTGCCCATCATTGGTATCTAGATAACCATCCAATTCCCTCTTGAATACCTCAATTGAACCTGACAGTACATTCCATATCCTAACAGCTCAGTGTAGGAGCAAAACCCCCGACTGAGGACGAAGACTCAGGAGGCAGGCAGAATTCAGGCACATGGCAGTCTTTGTTCTTCAGGCAAGCACTGGATCGTGCAGGGAGAGGGCCAAAGATTCCCCCACTATCTGGCCTTGACCTGAGAGCTCAGTTGTTCCCTTAATCCTTAGCTCAGATTGGAAGAGAGATCAATGATGCTGTGGTGTTTATAGTGAAATACAATATTTTTATACATTTAGTGTTAAAATAATCACATACAACATGGTCATAGTGCTCTTCCCTTTTATTCTGTGTATATCCAATTCTGTGAAACACCTAATCAATGATGGACACTCCTGTGGACAGCCCTAGGTTCCCATGATCTCATGGTGTTTAACAGACATTGTAAGCACCAGGCCTTGGGATCTTTCTATTCATCCTGTTAATCTGCATTCAGCAGTTACTGGTTGTATTCCTTCAGTCACATCCCAATCTTGTTTATCTCTAAGGACTGCGTGAATTCTGTTGTTCATTGTATTTCATTTACTATCTCTATCAAATTCAGTTACTCCTCATATATTTTCCCACCGTTCTAATTATATGTACAAAAAATATAAAAGTTCTAACTAACTGTTAAAAGATTCATAATATTAGTTTCCATTATAAAGGTACTTGTGTAAAGTTTTATAATTACCTCTACTGTTAGCACTCTTTAGCTTATGAGTTGCAAGCAATTTGTTTCTTACAAGATATGCCAGGCGAGACTGACTAACTTTCACATCAATGTTTGAATCTTTTCCCCTAATGCTTTTTAATTATCAATGTATCTTGTTGTATACTTAGATTCAAACTTAATTATAGAAACATCTCTGATTATCTGAAGAATCTTTAACTAGAACCTATTTCTAAATATTGTGAATAATTTTTTTGAAAAAAGCTAATTAATGCAAAAATAACTTTAGCTGCTGTTTTCACAGCTGCATGATGAGTTAGGCCGACTGTCTCCTAGACTGAGATTTATTGTCCTTATTCTGACTGATTCATTTCACCTAATGGGACAACATCCTTTTCAGTAATGAGGCTGGAATTGATCACTTATTTAATGAAGTTGTTTGATCCCTCTGATTTTTGAGCCACAACCGCACTAGTTCATCTGTGTTTGTTATGGTAGAAGTTTACCTCCTCCTTCAATGTTTGTTATAAATCTTCAGACTGTCTATCCTTGGACATTTCTTATCAAGACTGTGTCTCCTACCAACACTCCTTGCAGTTGTTGGTCATGCAATGCTCCCTTTTGCCTTGGAATAACCCCTTCTCAAAGGTACCATTGTCTCACTTAAATGCTGGAGAACGCTTTAATTCTGTTTTAATCACTTGTCCACCATTTTGTGTCTCTCAAATATGGGCAGCTCCAACACTGAGTGAAAAAGTTTTTGTTTTCACATCAACCTTTCCTTTTTTGCACAACACTTTAAATCTATGACCTCTCATTCTTGTTTCTCTTACAAGCAGAAACAGCTTCACCGTAACTACTCCGTCCAGTGCATTCATGATTTTGATAATCTCCATCAGATCTCTTCTCGGTCGCCTTCTCTCCAGAGAGAACAGTTCCAACTTCTTCAATTTTATCCTTAGTTGAAGTTTCTTGTACTTGGAACAATTCTAGTAACTTGTTTTTGGACTCTGTCCGATGCATTTGTATCTTTCCTATAACTTAACCATAGCTGTACAGAAAAACACAAAACATCGTATAGTTGCAGTTAAAATTAAGATATTTTGAGCAACTTTGAATTCAGAACAAACTCCGATACCATAAGTTTCAAAAGCTGTAGCAGCAATGATTAAAACTTGATTTTCAAATATTATAATCTCTTTTTTACTAGAATGTAGTGGCCTGGACCAACCTGGGAGCAACTTATTTAAAGAACGAAAATATTGAGGTAAATATTGAGAATACTAGTAATTAAACTAAAGTAAGATCTATAGTCACGGTAACTGGAGATACTTAGTATTGTGTAGTTATTCAATATTTGTTCGTAATAATTCTGATAAAGTTGCTACTATTCCTAATTAAACCATTAATATTTTTGAAAATTTAATTCTTATTTTAATGCTATCTCACTACTTGTGATTTTCATATGTTTCTAATGTAGCTTGCCCATGAAGCCTTTAAGGTAGCCCAGTCTTTGGAACCCTCGTATGTTGTGTGCTGGATTGGACAGGTAGATCATCTCTGCTGTTTCTACAATTTAATATTATTTGAAGCAAGGTGAAAATATTTTCCAGTTGTTGTATCAATTTGATGATACATTTAGATAGTTTATCCAAACCCTATAGCACTAACAACTTTACCATTTATTTGATGCAAAGCTTATGCAGTAATCTCCCCATATTCTTTGATTATGTTCGTAGCATCAGAAATAATCATAGACACATCACACTTGTATGATATATGAAGTTAAAGAATTAGAAGTGTTGTGATGCTCAAATTGGTGAAAATGATCTGTCAAATATAAGAGTATTCTCCTCTCAAGGACAAAAAATACAGTATCTATTTTTCAGCACCTATCTGTTGCTTCCCTGTTTTACACATGGGCTACTATCACAGATTTCTCTTTTCCTAGGTTATCTGTAACCTGAAGGATTAATAAAGTTGTTGTTTAACTGAGCTTCGATAAGCTATATACTTTTTTGAGATAACAAGGTGTAGAGCTGGATGAACACTTTGTTGCATTGCTTTAATTTCATTCTGAAAGACATGTTTTGAATGCACTTACACTGTTTAGTTGTTTAATTACTGATAATAACACTAGTTTATCCTCTTTGCAGGAATATTATACTTGCATCACCTTTAAATTTTTTCGACATATACTGGGAAGAAATTTCAGTTTGTTACATGTGTATTTTTGCTCTTGTAGTCTAAGTTTCCAATTATTTAACTTGTAGGCACTAATTGCTGAAGCTGTTGGCAGCTATGAGACAATGGACTTGTTTAGACATACCACAGAGCTTGGTGTTAATGTAAGTATTGTTCTTTATTTTGGTTATATGTAAGCATGTCTAGCCTGTTCAATTTTCAATTAAGATGAGTTTATTGTAATTTTACATTGTCCAAACAATTTAGAAAAAAAAAATCTTTTTACAGATTGAAGGAGCTAAAGGTTATGCACACTGGGTGTGTACAACACTGCAGGATAAATCAAACAGAAATTCTGAATTGTACAAGTACAACATTGTACAAATGAATGCAATATCTGCTGCACAAGTTGTCATGAGCAAATATACAGGTATGGTAAAATGTTTGATGAACTGGCGCACTTAACTTTTTGTTTTCTAAATAAATTGAGTGAAACATTAATATTATAGCCAAACTATGAATATATCCACTATAATAAGAAAGCAGTACAAAATTCTGAGGTATTTAACATTTGGCTTAGCAATATGTAATAATGATGAGGTCTATTGCAAAACTGTCACACATCTTAATAGCAAAATATTACAAGAATATTGTAGAATTTGAGATCTAGTGGTAGATTGGTCAATCTTTTCTTCATTTTCTTTTAATGTATTCAGGAGATGTGGGCATTACTGGTAACGCCAGCATTTATTGCCCATCTCTAACTACCTGAAGAGCCGTTCAGAGTTGACCACATTGCTGTGCATCTGGAGTTCTATGTAGACCAGATCAGATAAGGACAGCAGATTTCCTTTTTGTATTAGTGAACCAAATTGTAATAAAAACCTATCAGCAGTTGGTTGCATGATGCTCATTAGACTATTTCTTTAATTCCAGATGTTATTGAGATCAAATTTCGCCATCTGCCATGGTGGAATTTGAATGCATGCCCTCAGAACGTTATCTTGGGTTTGTGGATTACTAGTCCAGTGGCAGCCTCCTAATAACATTTAAATAGAACCTTCAATATAGAAAATTTCCCAAGGTATAATGAGGTGATAATGGATATCAAGCCAAATGACCAGATATTTGAAACTGACTATCCATTTTTTTTTTTAAACGGGTTGGTTTTGGTGAAATGCCAAAATAGAACAGGTGTGGCAGACTTAAGGGAGAGGCATTTCAAAGTATTTGGCTTAGGCAGTTGAACACACAACACTAGTTTATAGTCCAACAGGTTTATTTGAAATGACAAGCTTTCAACTGGTGAAGGAGCAGTGCTCTGAAAGCTTGTGATTTCAAATAAACCTGTGGACTATTACCTGGTTTTGTGTGACTTCTGACCTTGTCCACCCCAGTTCAACACTGGCACCTCCACGTCATGAATACAGAACTATCAACATTGAGTCGAAGGGATGGAGGATGCACGAGGGTAAAAAAGAGCAACTGAGTAGTAGAGCTGGAGAAGGTGGGAATGGTGAGATTGTGAAGGATTCAAGCACCAGATTGTGTTTTGATTTTGGGATGTAGACTGGAAGCCAACAGAAGTTAGCAAAGACATAAGTGAGTAGGACTTGATTAGTGGTGTTGTACAGTGGCTGCACACTTTAGATAAGCTAAAATTTAAAGAGCATGGAGGATTTCAGACTAGGTAGGAGGAGGGGCATTCAGTTAGAATCAAAGAATTGAATCTTTACATTGTGGAAGCAGGCTGTTTGGCCTATTGAGTCCAACCCTCAGAGTATTCCACCCAGACTCGCTCCCTTATCCTATCCCTGTAATCCTGCATTTCCCACAGGTAGTCCACCTAGCCTACACATCTCTGGACACTACGGACAATTTAACATGGCTAATCAACCTAACCTGCATATCTTTGGACTGTGGGAGGAAACCAGAGCACCCCGAGGAAACCCATGTAGATACAGGGAGAATGTGCAAACTCCACACAGACCATCACCCAAGATGGAATCGAACGCAGTCCCTTGCCCTGTGAGGCAGCAGTGCTAACCACTGAGCCACCGCACTACCAGTTTGGTAGAAATGGTGTCAAGGCGAGCAGGGAATGCACACGAGAGGAGAAGCTAAAATAACATGGAAGTTTAAGGCTAGGGAAGAGTTTAGGTTTGATGAACTAGAAAGACAGTCTTACCTTGGAGGTACGTCAGCTCTTTGCACTTATTTCAGAATGTGAAGGTAGAGGGAACAAATATGATTAGACAGTTGGTAATAGAGAGTAGAAACCAGAGACTATCTCTGCAGTCGGCATTCTGGGTGAACTTAGCAGAAAATATTGAAGCCAGATAGTCCTCAGTGCTGTCAACCCAAATCTGGTGGTGTTTGTAAAAAAGCAGTTTTGCAGTAGGTGCAGTCAAGATGCACTCCTTGGATTTTACTGAGGATAAGGAGATCATGGTGAGTGAACTGTTGAGATCAATAGCTGCACAGTTGGCTTGACAAATGAAAGGCCTTACAATTGCAATTTTAATTTTAAGAGACTTGGGACAGTTTGTTTGTCCTGAAGAGCAAACTCTGAGGAAATGGGATTTTGAGATGCTACTAGTACTTGGGTAATGAGTGATGAAAAGGAAGTAGTTTGAGATGGACTTCCTTTGATCAAGATCATTGCATTAGAAAAGTCACATGAATTGGCATGAGTAGAGGTCTGGCTGTTAAATTTCAGATGTGTTCTTATATGAAGGGAGCGGTTATAAAATGGCTGTGAATTCAGAGAAATAACAGTAATTTGAGAGAGAGATTATAACAGTAAGAAGCAGTTGTCAACAGTATAGTTGAGGGCGAATGCCTCTGGAATGGGATGTAGAGATGCTGGCATTTGAGGGTCTCCAGTGAAATGTGAGGGTTATGGAACAAGGCAAGATGTTCAAAGTACAATGTGCTAGAGAGCTGTGGAGGAACAAGACATAATCTCATAATGAAGACTGCACTGCCACCATTGAGCAAGTAGTAGAAATTACAACCAGGCTTCAGTAACCTGCAAAATGAGTCCATTTTTCAGTGAAAGCTATGTTAATTCATTGTTTTGCAATAGATTATGAATGAAAAGGGCCTAGTTCACAAGTGGTTAAACAATCTGGGTGAGGTAACGTAATGGATTCTTGTGCGTAGCAAATTTTGTTTGAACCAGTTAATAAATTTGATTTGTTTTTTGAACAGAGAGAATTCAGACTGATGCAACAGCTTTCACAATGCTGGGTTATCTAAATGAGTATCTAAGCCTGAAAAAACAAGCAGAAGAGGCATATCACAGGTAGGGATTGTGTGTTTAAAAACAAAATGCATCTGCTCAAGTTGGAAGAAAGAATGCCCTGAAACAAACATGATTAAATGCTCATGAGATAACAAGGTGTAGAGCTGGATGAACACAACAGGCCAAGCAGCATCAGAGGAGCAGGAAAGCTGACGTTTCGGGCCTAGACC